GTACCCAGTGCTGTCCCCAGCCCCGCCTGCCTCCACTTTTCTTGGCTCCTCTTCTTCCTCCCCGGGCTGCCTCGCCTCTGGGGCCTGCCTCTGCTCGGGTCTGTTCCCAGCCCCCCTTCCCCTCCTCCGCTCCGGTCTGTTCTCACGCGCTCTTCCCTCTCTGCCTTTCCTTTCCTCGTCCTTCCTCTTCTTTGCCTCGGCTCTGTCCCACGCGCAGACCAGCTCCGCCTTTCCCAGTCCCACCCAGCTTCTCCGTCCCTCGCTGACCTCTGGTGCCGCCTTTCCCCTGCTTCGCCCTTCCCTGCTTCGCTTCGATCTGTCCTTCTCCCGTGGGTCCCCCAATTGTTCTTCTGGGACTTGACTTTCTGATTTTTTTCATACGAGACCCAAGGACCCGCCCGGGGGTTTCTGCCCCTCACCCCTCAGGTTCCCAGCCGCCGAGATGCCAACTGGATTTCAGCAGATCAGCAGAGATGAGGTAAAACTGCTGGCTTGGGAGGGCTGGGGGGGGGAGGGGAGATGCAGAGCAAGAGTATGGGCCCAGGGGGCCGTGTGGGGTGATGGGCCCATAGGGGCAGCATTCAGCCACAAGGGGCGCTGGTGAGTTCTGGGGATCATGAGGACCATGGAGGGGTAATTGGAGCTGTGGGAGCAAGTGTGGAGCAATGGGATTGTGGGGTGATGGGGACCATGGAGAGCAGTGTGGGGTCAGGAGACATGGAGACTGTGGGGACAGCATGGGGTCATGGGGAAGTGATGGGGGCCATGGGGACAGGGTGAGACCACAAGGAGCCGTGGTGTGTGTGTGTGTGTGTGTTGGGAGCGATGCGGGTGATGGGAGCCGTGGGGAATGATTGGAGGCTGTGGGGGGCAGCGTAGGGCCATGAGGAGCCATGGGGTGGGTGATGGGAACTATGGGAAGTGACGGGGCCTGTGGGGGGCAGCGTGGGGCCACCAGAACCCAGGGTGCCTGTTGGGAGGCAATGGGAGCCATGGGGGGCAGTATGGGGCCATGAGATGCTGTGGCAGAGGCACAGCTAGGACAGTAGGGGGGCCAGTAGAGGCTGGAGGGATGGGGAATGCTGAGCTAAACTGGGGTGCCCCAGGGGGCTGCATCTGCCCCAATTCTCCTGGGTCAGTTGAGTTTCGGAGGGAACATGTGTCCCACAATTAATGCTCCCTCCACACCTAGCTCCCCTCCTCCATGGCAATAAAATCCTGCCCCCCTGGTCATGGCATTAAGCAGGAGAACATGGGGCTATTTATACTCCAGCTATTGTGTGAGGGGGGGAGAGACACGTGATCCATGTTAGCCAGCACAGATCTGGGCTGCCCTGTGCGTTATTCGGCATACGTGTGCATGGCTGGCAGACTGACTGGTATTCAGGACATGTGGGGAGTGATCTATGAGATATGGCACATTTATAGGGCCCTGCATAGCTGTGGATTAGCATGTCTGTGATGCAGCAGGATGTATAGGACACACATGTGATGCCGTGTATCTGATCTGTGTCACATGGCATGTGTATGTTAGCATGCCATACAGTGCAGGATGGGTAACTGTGTGTTATCTGGAACTCACCTGTATGATACTGTGTAGCTGGACTGGTGCCTGTGTAGCAGCACACAGGTGCCTGAGTGTGGTTGTTACAGATAGCAAACAGGAGGAGTCTCTGTTATCTAGAACATATGTGTGAAGCCATGTATCTGATCTGTTATATGGCACATGTACGGGATAGCAGCCTTTGTTTTAGGGAATGTGTGTGGGACATTGTGCATTTGTGTTGCATAGAACAAGTATATGGGGCTGCAGTTCTGGTCCCCCAGATGTGAGATGGGTAGTTTTGTAGCACATGTGGGGAGTAATGTGTTTATGAGATGTTGTGTTTCTGTAAAACTGGACACATGCGAAGTAGCACACATGTTGTGTTTTGTAGCTGGCCTGTACTGTATAGCACACAAGAGGATAGTGTGTCTATTATAGCACACATGCATGGTATCACGTCAGGTCTATGTTCTATAGCAGTGTGTCTCAACCTTTTTTTATAAAGTACCCCTTTAAAAAATAATAAGTACCCCGAGTACCTAGTTTTCAGACACACAATTTTTTTTCTACCGTTGCAACACATTTGTTTAAACAACTTAATCATAGCTGGGCGGGCGATGAAATTTCTGGGTGTAAAAAGTACAAAAATAATAAAACGCTGTAAAACTTAAAACAAAAATTCAGTTTTCTCCAAATTTCAGTTGTGTTGACGTACCCTCCCAGACTTCTTTCAAGTACCTCTAAGGTTACTCTTACCACTGGTTGGGAAACACTGTTCTATAGCACATGTGAGGGTAGTGTGTCTATTATAACACCTCTGGGTGTTGTGTCAGGTCAGTGTTACCTAACACGTCACATCAGCTGGTGTGTTTGCCTCCCACTTCTCCCATCCCCCCACCAGCGACTGTGAGGCATGTGGTGCGCTGTAGGGTTTGGGAAGTCATCTAGCAGGACCGGAAATGGCTGCTGGTGATGGAGGCTCTGGCCACTGCGAAGACCCAGCCTCTGTGGCAAGGATAGTAGGGAGAGCAGGGGCAGGTTTGTTACCCTTGTGGGCATGGGAGTGCAACACTGACCCCTGTGGGAGAGAATCAACCTGTGTGTGTGTATCTGTCTGTGTGGGGAGTGTGGGAGCACAGAGCCAGGGAATCAGATGCGTGTCTGTGATTGTGTGTATGTGTCTGTGTGTGGTGTGGGGGTATATGTCTGTGTGGTATGTGGATATATGTATTTGTGAAGCATGTGTCTGTGTGTGATGTATAGCTGTATGGTGTGTCTGTGGAGTGTGTGTCTGTGTGCAGTGTGTGTATGTCTATGGTGTATTAGCATGTGGTGTATGTGTCTGTAGTGTATGTGTCTGAGATGTGTCTGTGTTAGTGTGTCTGTGTGTGGTGTATGTGTGTCTGTCTGTGGTGTGTGCGAGCATGTGGTATATGTGTCTGTAGTGTGTGTGTTTGTAGTGTTTGTGTGTGTGATTGTGTGTGTGTTTGTGTATCTGTGTTGTGTGTACATGTGGTATGTGTGTCTGTGAACAGTGTGTGTTTCTGGGGGTGTGTGCATGTGTGCGACAGAGACAACCAGGTGTGCATGTGCGTGCGCACACACACACCCCAGAGTAAGGAGCGTAGCCGGAAGGGTGTAGATAATGATTTGCCTCTGATCTGTTTGTATAAGTCAGGTTTTGCATATAGGCCTGGGTGTGTGTGTGTGTGTGTGTTAGTGGAAACACAATGCAGGGCACATGGGGCATCAGTAGTTAACACATATTTCAAAGGCAAGTGGCCAGTTCACACCCCTTCCAGGGGTGGAGGGGCCCATGATTGTGTGTAATTTGTCAAGAGACTCCATGAGATGCCTGGGGACATGCAACTCATGAGAGTGTGAGAGACTCCTGTGTGCAAAACCTGTGTGTGTGACACTGGGTGTGTGTGGGACTCATTTGTGCACAAGTGTGTGTATTGTATGTTCTGTGGGTTTGCACAGGGCAGTTAGGTGGGGATGGAGGAGAGGGGAGGGGAGCTCTGGGCTCCCTTCCATGACCTAGGAGTGTGGGCTTGATACCTGCAGCCTGGACCCTGGGCACAGCCCAAGTGTAACCTCTGTGCAATCTCCTGCCATACACGAGGCCCCACCAACTAGCCCCCGTACTCCAGGATCAGATGAGAGCCAGCACCCCCTAGAGGGGACAGGACTCGTGCCCCATTCCCTGCATCCCTGAGCCAGCCAGTCCCTGCCCTGGGGCTGGATGGGCGCTGGCACTCCCTAGAGGGGACAGGCCCCTGCCCCATTTTGCCCCCCTCTCCTCCCCAGCAAGCTAGTCCCTGCCCTTTGGCTGGATGGGAGCTCTCTGCCCTCCCACCCCCCAGAAGACAGGGCCCCGTCTCCATGTTATTTCTCATGGGGCTGTGGCAGATGGTCGGGACATCCTTCTCTGTTTACATTTCCTGAGCCTCCTGGCTCCCGGACCTTTCCTAATAAGGGCTGTTTTCAGCCAGGGGCTGTGGCTGGCTGAGGCGAAAACCTTCACATGCATCAGTGGGAGGATGGGGGGAATGAGAAGAGATTCCCCCATTTTATAATCCCCTCCATTGATCCCCACAGCCACCAAAGCCCAACAGGGCAGGATTGGAACTGGGAGGGAGGGGTAGGTTGGGAGGAGGTGCAGAGGGTTCCCCAAATCGGTGCTGCCCCCCTGTCATGGGGAACAGGGCCTTTCCAGGGTCTTCCCATGCACAGGGAGCAGTGGATGAAATTGGGGGGCGGGGGGTGGAGGGGAAGGTACGGCATGGGAGCAGAGAGTGAATGAATTAATCTTTAGTGTCCCCCCCCATTTTACAGAGAGGGAAAAACGGAGGCTTTTAAAGGGGAAGCATCTCAGACATGCAGGGTCGAGCCCAGGAGTCTTGGCCTTCAGCTTCCTCCTCAACCCCACTGTAACCCACCAACCCTCCCTCCCCCCCGAGCTGAGGTGGGAACCCAGGTGTCTGGTCGTGTTGGGGAGGGCCATGCAAGAACCAGATGAGGGCAGAGGAAGTGAAAGGGCCAGGCTGAGTCAGAGGAGAAGGGAACGTGCCAGAACGCAGGCACACTAGGCTCTGCAAAACCCTTCTGTGTTTGCATGTGAAGGAGAAGGGTGTGTTACTGCTCCGCCCGTTGTGCGAGCCCCTGCAAGCCCCTCTGGGTTTGCACGAGGCTTTGCCTCCTCTCCGTAGTCACGCAAAGGCCAGGAGAAGCTGACACCACTGCCTGGGGCTGTGCAACTCTGGGCAATTGCATGGGGGGATAAGTAGGCCATGCAGCGCTCACGTTTGCTGTCCACCTCCAGTGCTGCAAACTTCCCTGCAGCAGTGCCCCCCACTCCCCATGCTGCAAACTTCCCTGCAGCAGTGCCCCCCACTCCCCATGCTGCAAACTGCTCTGCAGCAGTGCCCCCATTCCCCATGCTGCAAACTTCCCTGCAGCAGTGCCCCCAACACTGCACATTTCCCTGGAGGAGTGCCCTCCGCCCCCCAGCACTACAAACTTCCCTGAAACAGTTGGCCCCTGATCCTGATGCTGCAAACTTCTCTGCAGAGGTGTCCTCTGCCCTCTCAATGCTATAGACATCCCTGCAACGGTGCCCCCGGCTCCTGATGCTGCGATCTTCCCTGGAGCAGTGCTGGGTATGCGGCAAGGGAGGGCCCTTCCACTCCTCAGGTGTGCAAGTAACCCATCTTTGGGGGGGTGCCACTTGTGTTTCCACAGGAGGAGGAAGTTGAGCAGGAAGTCAGGCCAGGCATAACCTCCACTCTAGTGCTTTCAGTTTTCACAGCCGTGCTGGGCTCCCTGCAGTGTGGATACAACATCGGGGTCATAAATGCCCCCCAAAAGGTAAGAGATTTCCTCTTTCCCCTCTAGCGGGAACCAGCTCTTATCCAGCCCCAGGGCAGAGACTGGTGACTCAGGGGGGCAGGGAATGGGCCTATCTGCCCTGTTACCCCTAAGGAACATTGAGAGCTTGTGGTGTGAAGCTAAGGAGTGTTTCAAATCAAAGCACCTGTATTGGAGGGGCACCAGCAGAGCTGGGGAAGCCCAGGGCTGGGCTGGCAGGGGCTGGGGATGTAAGGGTATGTCTACACTACAAAGTTAATTCGAACTAACAGATGTTAGTTCGAATTAACTTTGATAGGCGCTACACAGGCAAACCGCTAGTTCGAACTTAATTCGAACTAGCGGAGCGCTTAATTCGAACTAGGTAAACCTCATTGCACGAGGACTAAGCCTAGTTCGAATTAACTAGTTCGAATTAAGGGCTGTGTAGCCACTTAATTCGAACTAGTGGGAGGCTAGCCCTCCCCAGCTTTC